TCCTGGAGGAGTGGGATGTCTTAACAATTTACTGTATGAAAAGGCAAAAACAAGTGCTTGTTGAAAGCAGGGAGAGAATAAAGGAGGGGGGTGACACCTCAGCTCTAACTAAGCTGAGTAGAGTCCTGGCAGGCAGATACCATGGGAGAGCATACTGCAATGAAGGTACAGTGGGGGAAAGACTCAGGACATTTCATGGGTAGGGGACTGTGAGTCAGTTTGAAACACCTGAAGAAGAAAGGGTGTGTGTGTGTGTGTGTGTGTGTGTGTGTGTGTGTGTGTGTGACAGCAACAGGAAGGGATACTGAGCTTATTTCAGGTGTCTTGTGTGGCAAGTAGGGAGTTGCAGAAGGTGTCTGAGAAGAACAGAGCATGTTTTAGGAAGAGTAAAATCAACTTTCAAAACAGTTATGGCACAGAAAAATACCATTAGGGCAAAAATACAGGGAAATACAAGAACATCTTAAAACATGGAAGCAGTGTACCTTTAACTGATGGGGGAGTTGTAAGAGTGCTGCTGCTTCATTCTTTTTCCTTGGTGTACTTAGACAAAGCACAACTTTTTTGATTTGTTCAAATATGGTATACAACTTATTTCTTACATTTTTAGTAGGAATGAATGTGTTAAGAAAGGATTAAATTTCACTTATTTTACATGTGTCTTTTTAAAAGATTATAATACAAATAAAGCATTGGTATTACTTTTCAAGAGAAAGTGTCGCAAAAAGCTATCTAGCAGTCTTTATGTGAGGTAATTTTATAGTAAGAAATAGTATGTTCAAAAAAACTGTCCTTTGAAACATCGACTGGTGGATGATCTCTTAGAAGCTTTTGTTTACTTTTTTAAAGAATTATTTTATTATCATTATTATTAGATTTTAATTTGATGAGAGAAAGTGAGCAAGCAAACAAGCCACCAGTTCCAGGATTCAAACCATGATTAGGCATGTGGTAGTCCAGCACCTCAACCACCACACCACCTGTCGGCCCCCCTCTTACAAGCTTTTGGATGGAGCAGCTTTAACTATAAATGTTTCAGGCACTTCTCATTTTTTTTTTCATGTCTTAGGTACCAGAAATTTCCCAATCCATTTAGTTTATATATATATTCATAGCTATTCCAGTTTGTTATCACAGTTTGCTCTTTTTCTTTCTTTCTTTTTTTCCTTATTTATTTTTCACTACCAGACAATAAGTGCAATCATGAGAGAGAGAGAGAGAGAGAGAGAGAGAGAGAGAGAGGAAGCATCCCCCAATGGGACATGGTCAGGTCACAGTCCTCTCCATCCAACCAGTGTGTGGGGCATGCATGCACATGTACTGGTATGTTTTCCAAATTGGTGGGGCTAGGATTTAAACCACAGTTGGCATGTGGAATCTAGTTCCCTATGCACGGTACTTAACCTCTGCATTTTTTTTAAGCTGATTTTTTTTTTTAATTTACTGTCTTAACCATTTTTATTTTCAAAGAATTATTTTATTTAACTTTACTTATTTGTTTTAATTTTACCAGAGAAGGATAGAGTGAGAGAGAGGGAAAGTGAGAAAGGAAGACGCCAAGACCAGGACTTGAACTGCAGTTGGCCATGTGGGAGTCTAGCACCCTTAACCACCACACCACACCACCTGCTGGTCTCCCTAAAGCTGATTTATTTATTCCATGAGAAAGGGAAGGAAGGGGGAGAAGACGGGTATCAACCAGGTGTTCATGATGTGGTGGACCCTTCGTCTTAGCCAGTCCGGATCATGGGCACACCTGTGTGTGCCTGGCTTATGGTATTTCCACCAGGTCATCATCTAGCCCCTCTCTTTTTCTCTTGAGTCTGAAGATAAGGAAGAAAGGGGCCGTACTGTCCACAGATATTTTTCCCCATAATTCACATTCATTCTTGCAGCTAGTTATGTTCTTCATTGACACACGAATTGAATGATCCCATCTTAAGAGCCATACAAGCGACACTCAGACATTTTGTTAAGGGATGTGTGCACTCGCCAGACAGACAGAGAGAGACAGAGAGATAGAAAGTGAGAAGTCACCCCCGGGGGGATGGCCACGCCACAGTCCCTTCTCCTCCATTCTCCTCTTGGGATCTTGGGCACGCACGCACACTTGCCTGGCATGAGTTTTAAGCCACCGGGTCCGGGATGTGAACTGCGGTCGACTATGTGGGAGTCCAGCGACATAGCCATTACACTAACTGCTGGTCCCTGTATTTCCTTTCCTAACTTCTTTTTTATTTAGTATTGTCATTTTTCAATTCGACCAGAGAGACAGAGAGAGAAAGAAAGTGAGAAAACAAGCTGCTAGGTCTGGGACTCAAACCATGGTCAGCCATGTGGGAGTCCAGCACCTTTGCCTTCATACCACCTGCCAGCCCTATTAAATATTTCTTAAATAGGAAACTGAACGACTAACAGATGGCATACTGGTTATGTCACCGGACTTCCACGTAGTCAACCACGGTTTGAGTCCTGGACCCAGTGGCTTGAAACTCACCCTGGCATGTGTGCCGGAAATCCCAAGAAGAGAATAGAGCAGAAGGGATTGTGGCATGGCCATCCTCCATAGGGGGGGGGATTTTTTCACTTTCTGTCTCGCTGCCTCTCTGGCAAGTGCTCACACCCTGTAGCAAAATCTTTCTTTAAAAAAAAGAAAAAAATAGGAAGGTAGATGATTTTCTTTTGAATGAAATTGTGTGGTAGCAAAGGTGATCTAACTCTACTCCCAGGAATATATCATATATGAAGTAGTATATACAAGATATTTTTGTGTCTTGAATGTGAAAGATTAGAGAAGATTTTCCCAGCCCTGTGTATTTTATGCTTTTACAGTTTTAACCCTAAGTTGCGTGCACTCACTGGAGCCAGAGAGACCATGAGAGGGAAAGTGAAAAATCCCCCTCTGGAGATTTTGCCACACTGCAATCCCTTCTCCAGTCTCTTGGGATTTGGGGCATGCACTTGCCCATCCTGTGTATTTTTTTCCTTTTCTTTTTTCTTTTCTTCCTTTTTGGAGAGTTTTGTTTTGTTTTGTTTTTGTTTTTTGGGGGTTGTTTTTTGCTATAGGGCACTTGTGCAAGACAGAGAGACAAAAAGCAAGAAATCATTCTCCGGGGGGGATGACCACGTAGCGGTCTTTTCTCCTCTATTCTCCTTTCGGGATTTTGGGCTTGCACACACACGTGAGTTTCAAGCCACTGGGTCCAGGACTCAAACTGCGGTCAACTGTGTGAGAGTCTAGTACCTTAACCACCGTGCCACCTGCTGGCCCCACCCTGTCATTTTTTAAAAATTAATTTTATAATATTTTAAAAATACTTTAATTTATTCATGCATTTATTTTAATTTGACCAGAGAGAGACACACAGAGAGAGAGAGAGAAGGAAAGTGAGAAAGCAAGCCACCAGGACCAGGACTTGAACCATGTTCGGCCATGTGGGAGTATCCAGCGCCTTAACCACTGCACCACCTGCTGGTCCCCACCTACCCTGTCATTTTTAATAATAGTCATGTTATACTTTCTTCCACCCTAAACCACATTCATTTTTTCTTTTTTGAAATGCATATTATAGTTTTATTTTGGCAGTAGAAATATATGACACTCTAGAATGATGGCAATTCTTCATTTCAGGTAGTCTGAGCTCCTGCCTGATACTATACAACTATTCCTACCCACTTTGTTTTTCTTCTTTTTTTCCCCCCCCTTTTATTTTTTTTTTTCACTTCATTTTCTCCCATACATTTGATCACATTATTATTTGTCTTACAAAATGGATATTTCAACAGGTGAACGTTTCTTTTTAGTATTGTTGATAAAACTACGAAATATCTTCAACAGACCACATTCATTTTTTTAAAAATGTTTTAATAATGATTTAAAAATATTTTAGATGACATATTTAAAAAGTACCTTCTAGTTATCATATCTAGATATGGCAGGGGTATAACTGACATGAAATGTTTTTGCTTCTCAGGTAAAAGTGCCTTCCCACCTCTATGTAGAGAACATAGATTTTTTAAATGGGCATATTCATAGCTGTATGACTAAAATGTACTAAGAAGGTCCACATAGCCTGGGATTTCTGCCAAGATCATAATGCTTACAGGTAGCCTCATTTTAAAGAATCAAAGTCCAATGATCGGTTAATAGAAACTTCATAAACTCTTATATTGGTCATATTTGTTGTTCCTATTATTTTTATAAAATGAAACTAGTCATTTTAAAACAGATTATGTGATTTTATAGAGAGTCTATTGAGCTAGAAGGCAGGAACCCATTCTGTAGCTTTTAACATGCCACACAAACCCGCTCTGCCCCATTGCAAGTAACTTAATCTCTCTGGCACTTAATTTCCATATCTGAAAAGTGAAAGAAGTGCACCAGATACAAGGTCTCTTTCAGTTCTGTTGTTCTTTGATTTAAAACAAATTATAAATAATTTCTAGACAGAATTTTTTTTTTTGAGAGGTTTTTGCTATAGGGCACTAGTGCTCGCCAGAAAGACAGAAAACGAGAGATCACCCCCCCCCCCAGGGGGGATAGCCACACCACAATCCCTTCTTCTTCATTCTCCTCTCGGGCTCTTGGGCATGCATGCACATGTTCCCCGTGTGAGTTTAAGTCACCAGGTCCAGGACTTTGACTGTGATCGACCACACGGGAGTCCAGCAACAGCCATTACGTCAACTGCTGGTCCCTAGATCTTTAACTGCTATTAAATACAGTAGTAGAGGAGCTGGCAGTTGGTGTGATGGTTAAGGGTGCTGGACTCCCACATGGCTGACCATGGTTCGAATCCTGGACCTAGCGGCTTGCTTTCTCATTCTCCTTCTCTCTTTCTCTCTCTCTCTCTCTGCCCTTCTCTGGTCTGAAAGGAAGGAAAGGAAGGAAGGAAGGAAAGTTAAATAAAATAATTCTTTAAAAATATACACTGGTAAATATTCCATTTTAAATTATTCGAACCAAATAATGATTTTGCTTACTCATTGTTGTTTTTCAGAAACTCTGTGAAGGCATATTTAAGGTCCTTGTAAAGGACATCCCAACAACATGTCAAGTGTCCTGCCTGGAAGTACTCCGCATTCTCTCCAGAGACAAAAAGGTTTTAGTTCCTGTAACAACTAAGGAAAATATGCAGATACTGCTGCGACTAGCCAAGCTAAATGAGTTGGATGATTCTTTGGAGAAGGCGTCAGAGTTCCCAGTTATTGTGGAGTCGTTGAAATGTCTGTGTAACATAGTGTTCAACAGTCAGATGGCACAGCAGCTCAGCCTGGAACTTAATCTTGCTGCGAAGCTCTGTAACCTCCTGAGAAAGTGCAAGGACCGAAAATTTATCAATGACATTAAGTGCTTTGACTTGCGCTTACTCTTCCTCCTGTCACTTTTGCACACTGACATCAGGTCACAATTGCGCTATGAGCTCCAGGGACTACCGCTGCTAACCCAGATTCTGGAAAGTGCCTTTAGCATCAAGTGGACCGATGAGTATGAATCGGCCATAGACCATAATGGACCTCCTCTCTCACCTCAGGAGACAGACTGTGCCATTGAGGCCCTCAAAGCTCTCTTCAATGTGACAGTAGACAGTTGGAAGGTGCATAAAGAGGTAAGGTTGAGAAGGATATTCTTATCCACCTAGAATGTAATTGGTCTAGGGCATCCTTAGTGATGCCTACAAGGGAAGAATGCTAAGTTGGGAAATGGAAAACATTAATTGATTCTACGATCCAAATATATTTTTAGCTCTTAGAAGATAAACTACTCTTTTTATTTATTTTATTATTTTTTTTTTTGGAGAGGTTTTTTCGCTATAGGGCGCGTGCGCTTGCCAGACAGACAGAGAGAAACAGAGAGACAGAAAGCGAGAAATCACCCCCTGGGGGGATGGTCATGCCACAATCCCTTCTCCTCCATTCTCCTCTCGGAATCTTGGGGGCATGCACACACACGTGCCCGGTGTGAGTTTTAAGCCACAGGGTCCGGGATGCGAACCGCAGTCAACTATGTGGGAGTCCAGTGACATAGCCATTACACTAACTGCTGGTTCCCTAAACTACTCTTTTGTAAGATGCCAAATATAATTAGTTTTATGAGTTGTATTATTACTTATATTTTCATAAGAGTACCTCTTGCAGGAACAGGTTTAAATAAAATTTGAAAGGAAATAAAACAGTGTGTTTGATAAAAGTGTAGACATTTTCTATTGCTGCCATCTTAAAGGTTCAAATAAATTGAGCCAGTTGGAATTGATGAATCAGAATTAATGTCTGCCTGAAAGTAAAAGATGCTTTGGTTTTACTTATCATCCCAGTCTCCTAAGGTATTACTTTAAACTGTTAGATAACTGTCAGACGTGTAGAACTATAACTAGATATCCCTGTGTTTACACAGTGGGGGGGGAAGGGGCACAATTACACCAGACTGTGGGAAAGGTTACTTTCAACCAATTGATTTACTTCTGGATTAAGGATCATTTTCTGTTACTCAGACCTTCCAGCAATCCAAAGTAAGGCAGATTTGATAGTTTGTATTTAAGTACCCACAAGAACAATATGCTTAAGAAGAAACTTAGTATAAGGAAGTCAACAATTTTAAGCCAAGCAGACCTAAATTCTTTCCCTCCCTTCTAAAATCTCAGCATTTTTCTTTTTTTCTCTTTATATAACCTTATAAGAACTGGTGAAATTCAGCCCCTGACTTTAAATAAAAGAGGTATTTTGATGCGAGAGCAAATGATCTTTTCTAACAATTGAGTTTAGGCTTTAAGCTAACATTTTGTTGTGTCCATTTGAAATAGTTCTCACCCATGAATATACATGTGATTTTCCCAGCTGCCTGTTTTAAAAGGATTTATCTCAGTACAGTGTTATAGTGGGAGTATGAAGGCATCCGAATTCTAAAGTGCAAATAGGTCTATATTTTGAAACCAAATATTTGAAGATCATTCCTAACAGCTGTTTTAGATGCCTGTAGTATGGTCAGTTTTTCCTGGGACTTGGCAGAAAAAGATGTGGGAAGCCCACATGCTCCACTTACGCTTTGAAACTAAATATTTGGAAATATTTAACATGTTATATCTCTATGCTTATTTGGTACCTTCTATGGTTATTTTTCTTACACTGTTTATTTTGGTGTTTTTAAGTTCATTTAGCTGCAAGCGCTCCTCTGAGACTGTTGGTTTGCCATTGTCAAAGCCTCTGTTATTTCAGTTATGCCCAAAATAGTAGCTCACGCTGTTCAGATTCCTGACAAAAAAGAGTTTGTAATTCAGCTACTCATCAGTATTTTTACATGGGATGACATATACTAAAATCAGTAAATTTAGATTAGCCTTTATTAATGTGCTTTAGTTGTTTTAGTGGGGCTGAAGAAGCTTTAGAAAATGTTGAAGTAGCAAATACTCATTCTGTGTAATAGAATGTTTGTTCTCTAAAAGATATGTAGTAAAGGAACAGTAGTCCTGGAACAGGTATCTCAGACCTATAATACCTATTTTTTAATTGTGGATCAGTTGCTAAAACCATTATAAAATGCACACAATTCATGTGACTGAGCTGTTATGGAAGTTTTCAGAAATTTAAGCAGTATTGAAAATAGGATTCTTGCCAACGCATTTAGACATGAATGTCTTCGTGAATCTCTAAATTCAACTTTTACCAAACATTTTCTTTCATTCATTCAGTCAACAAGTATTTATAGATGATCACTAGATACTATACTGAACATTGTCTAAGTTACTGGCACATAATAGGCATAGTCTTTGCCTCAATGAAACTTCAGTTTTGTGAATGTGATAGGTAATACATCAGAAATAAATTTATATTTCAAATTATGTCATTAGGAGAGAAACTATATTTGTTGAGAATGCTTAGTATTGTCAGAGAAGATTTCCGTAGGTCTATCCTGAGATCTGAAGACAGAATAATTCAGCCATTTTAAGATGGGAGATGGGGGTTTGAACATTTTCTGGAAATTTAATAGCATGTCAAAAGACACAGAAACTAGAGCATAGAGTACTTTTTAGTGCATTACCCAAAACTCAGTGTATGGAAAACTCTGTTGGGGCCAGCAGGGTAGGTATGCACATTACGGCGTAGGACTCCCACATGGCCAATCTTGGTTCAAGTCCTGAACCTGGCAGTTGGAATATCACACTAGGTACGTGTGTGTGTTTGTGTGCGTGTGTGTGTGTGCCCAAAATCCTGAGAGGAGAATGGAGAAGGGATTATGGTGTGTCCATATCCCTGGGGGTGATTTTCTCACTTTTCTTCTCTTTGTCCCTCTCTAGTGAGCACATGAACCCTATAGCAAAAACCTAAAATAAACATAATTTTAAAAAGAAAGAAAGAGAAATCCCCCATTGCAGTATAGAGAAGCCCTTTTACCCAGATTTCAGTGTCTCCTTGATTGTCAAATGAAAGATATTTTACTTTAATAGAGCAAACACTTAAAGAATTAATACCTTAAAACAGAAAACTTATTGTACAGAAAAATCTAACTTTAAAATATCTAATATATTTTCCTTCCTATGAAAATAGTACATGCTCATTGTGAAAGATAATAGGAAAAAAGCATTTAAGGAATAAATTCACTAATCAAATGATAAGTACTATTTGCATTTTGATACATTGTTCTAATCAGTGTTCATTGTACAGTATCTAAACAAACATACACATTTTTTGCAAAAATGCAGTCATTTTATAATCTTAAGTTTTTTCCAAAATAAATGTTCATTTTTTTAATTGCCAGAGGGCATGTGTATTCACCAAAGAGAGAGAAACAGAGACAGAAAGAGAGAGAGAGAAGGTATCCCCCAGTGGGATGTGGTCATGTTGCCATTCCTTTTCCTCCATTTCTCCATCCTGTCAGGATTTGAGGAGTACATGAACATGCACCCCTTGTATTTTTCTTGGCACTGGGGCCAGGATTTAAACCCCAATTGGCTATGTGGGTTCTGTCTCCCTTAACCACTACACTGTGGGACTGTACCCAAAATTTTTTTTTTTGGGGGGGGGAGAGATTTTCACTGTAGGGCGCGTGCGCTCGCCAGACAAACAGAGAGAGACATAGAGACAGAAAGCGAGAAATCACCCCCCAGGGGGGATGGTCACGCCGCAATCCCTTCTCCTCCATTCTCCTCTCGGGATCTTGGGCACACACGCACACGTGCCCGGCATGAGTTTTAAGCCACCGGGTCCGGGACATGAACCGCGGTCGACTACGTGGGAGTCCAGCGACATAGCCATTATGCTAACTGCTGGCTCCCACCAAAATAATTATTTTTGATGAATAGTTTTCAAAATGTGTTCCTTGAAACCATAAGGTTCCTAGGAATGGCTTCCAGGTTCCCCACCCCTACTTTTTAAAAATACACCTTTGATGTTGCTATTGCTAGTGTCTCTTAATACAGATTGTAAGATTTCATTTGAGGGATGAAAAGGATTCTGCAACAAAAAATTTGACAACCACCTTCTAAGTTCTATTTATTAAAAGTGACAAATCCTTATAAAGGAAAACTGATTTTATGTTTAATTATGTTTGATGAAAAGGAGTTTGCAACCAAGAAAAAAAAAATTTATAACCACCTTCTACTTCCTATTTGTTAAAAGTGACAAATCCTTATAAAGAAATACTCATTGTATGTTTCAGTGTGTGTTTTCTTCCTAAGTATTAGGTTGTCAGGAAAGTCATGGTGTATTTTTCTGTTTTTCTATGTAAAAATGCATCATAACTTAACTGACAACTCAATATTTATCACCTTTAAGGAATCCCTTATTTGTAGGCACTTAGATTATTTGCAGTTGTTTCATTTTAAGGAATTACTTATTTTAATTTTATTTATTCATTCATTTATTTTAATTTGACCAGAGAGAGAGAGAGAAAGTGAATAAGCAAACCACCAGGGCCAGAACTCAAGTCATGGTCAGCCATGTGGGAGCATCCAGCACCTTAACCACCACTGATATAGTAAATTTTACTGCTGTGAAATCTTTGTAGATACATTCTTAAAATGGATGAGCCTAAGCATTTCAAAAGTTTAAAGTTTTTTATATATATTGTTAAGTCTATCTTCAGAGGACTATAGCTTTTTAAACCCTGGGCATTTCACTCTTAAAATTCTGTATGTGGCTTGGTGGTTGAGGTGCTGGATCCTATGTGGCCAACTCTGCACTTCCAGTTCCAGACCTGGTGGGTTGAAAGACATGCTGGGCGTGGGAACCAGCAGTTAGCATAATGGCTATGTCACTGGACTCCCACATAGTCGACCGCGGTTTGTGTCCCGGACCCAGTGGCTTAAAACTCACACCGGGCGCGTGTGCGTGCGTGCCCAAGATCCCGAGAGGAGAATGGAGGAGAAGGGATTGCGCCGTGACCATCCCCCCGGGGGGGGGATTTCTCGTTTTCTATATCTCTGTCTCTCTCTGTCTGGCGAGTGCACGCACCCTATAGCGAAAACCTCTCAAAAAAAAAAAAAAAAAGAAAGAAAGATGTGCTGGGCATGTGGGCAGATGTGCCCAAAATCCCAAGAGAAGGGATTGTAACATAGCCTCTCCCTTGGAAGGTGATTTCATACTTCCCCTCTCTCTGTCTCCAGCAAGCACATGC